CAATTCCAGTCTTCATTGTCAGGATATCAACAGTCCATTTCACACAAATCAGCAGCAGTAGCTCAATCCACTGACAAACACCATTCACAAATTAGCAATGGCAGTTGGATCCAGAAGAATCTCCAAGGCTCTGTCAATGGGCCAGAGTCCACTGAAGATGTAAGAAGCTGCGGGAATATCACAAGAAATTCTTTGGCGCATTTCTCTCTACAAAGTCACAACAAAGAATGATCAGTGAAGATGCCAAGGTGAATCAGTGCTAGAGCATTGTCAACAAAAACAAGTATCAACAAAGCCCAATGAAGACCAGCAAAGAATGGCAAGGTGAACCAATGCCACACTGTAGTCTGCTGTCTGTTGAGTTATATTTATATTCTTTCCAAACATTATGTGTTTTCAAGCATCTGTTCTAGCAAAATATTGCATGCTCTTTTCCCAGGCAGCTTACAGAAAAACACCATGTATCTGCTTCAGCAAAACATCCTCTCATAAGACAATCTCCAGAAAAACATCACATGACACAACTGGTCTTCAAAGAAACCAGAAATTTCCACTTCACACACTTATAATTTTTTCTTATAGTAAGAACAGTCAGCAGTTTTTAAAGATTTTACTTGTTCTCGCTCCGGTCACCATGTAGTGCGGTGAATCTTAAATGGATTCTTTGGCTCTGACTAGACTTTGCATCCTTTGATCAGTAGCTTCTTGTGCATACCTGCATAGATTTGGCTTTCAGTGTTCCTTGTTGCAAAGCTTCTGAAAAGGTTAGCAGAAAACAGCTTTCTGTTCACTTCTCTAGAAGTTGGTTCTAGTTGCTGTATCACTGCAGCTCATGAAGAGAAAAGTATTGGATGTAAAGGGAACAGAATGGTGGCCATTACAGTGACCTAGAGGAGTTTTTGGCAGAGTTGGAAAGATGTTGAGAGATCAAAATTGATTTAAGAGATAGACATGAAATAATGAGTTAAGGGTAGTTAAAAAAAAATAAGGGCATGTCAAAGATGACTTGTTTTTAGCTGAACAATATTGGCTTCTAAGACAGGAAGCATGGGAAAAGGACATCATTTAGTGTTTTCTGCTGGATGTGTTGAATGTGAAGTATCTCTATATTGGTTAATATTTATTATATTGTCAAACATAGTAGTATATCAAAAGTCTACTTTCTGCCCCCCTTTTTTCTCACCCCTATGTTCAGTATGTCTTTTGACAGGGCCACCATGGTCCTTCTGAGATCTGGACCTAACTCTGAATTATCTTGGATTCCTCCTCAGGCTGGTCATCTCCTCTGTTTTTCCCCTGTCCCTATCCACTTTCAGATACCTCTGGCCCTCCATGTGAACTCAAGCACTAGCTTCCATGATGCAGAGAGTTGGGGACATCCCTCTCCTTGCTAGTCCATGGGGTGCAGTCCTGCTGCCTGAATCTTCATGAAATACCAGAGGATCATGTACTCCTCTTCTCAGAAAGCATTCTGTGGTTATCTCTCAGGTGAACTAGTCCTACCAGTATTCCTTGGGGAATTCTGGATACTGGCTTTTAAATCCAGGATACCAGATGCAATCTGAGGTATTTCTAGACAGCCAATCTCTTACTGTAGTTATTTCATCCCAAGGAAGTCATCACCATAGAGCTTTGACAGAATCCAAGCAGTAAGGTACCAGCTTGCCCTTCTCTGACATCTCATTCAATTTTGGGTGGACTCTTCTGATGGCTTTTGGCACTGGCAAACTGGCATCTTGCTGTTTGGGTACCTGTGTCTTATCTCCTAGATATGGCTGAGGCCCAAAATCCAGAGAGGCAATTCCACAACATAGCTTCACAGACCCCAGTGCCCAGAACAGGTCTCTGTTCTCTCTCACAAGAAAGAGTGAATGTAATATCTTTGCTGGTTTATCATATTTCTTCCCAACTGCTTTAGAAACTTGAAGGAATAGAAAGAGGCATATGGTTTTTAGTTAGAGTGGACCTTTGGCACTCTCTTAATATTTAATGATATTTAGATAGTGATGACTCAAGTTTCCTGAGACTTGGGCTAATTTTCCTATTCCTGGATCTTCCTGTTTAGTCTGCTGAGTTATCAGACCTAGAACATACCATTCAGGAAGAACATAGCCAATAGCCTCATTAGACTGTGTGGGCTTTGGATAAGGTGTTGGCTAGTTCTCCTCATTGCCTTGTTTTCTGCTTTCTGGTGGACTAGGGCAGTCTGAGATCTAGAATTTTCTTATAATGATTAGAGAAGACCCATGTTATGTCTCATAACTTGGCATGGTGGCTGACATCTGTAATCCCAGCACTTGGGAGGTAGAGGTAGGAGAATCACAATGAGTTTGATTCTAGTCTATGATCTACATAATGGGCTCCATGCTATTGTGGGCTGTTTGATACTTAAGAATGGAGTTCATAGACACTCATAAATCTCAGAATAATTTAAGAATAATAGCAAACTGCATGGCAATATGCTTTTTAGATAGACTGTAGTAGGAAGTAAATGTATTATAATGTACAGTCATTTATGTTACTAAGTCAGAATTTTTTTCTCTTTTTGGCATTTTACTTTCAGTTGTGTTGTAAAATGCATAGTACTTAATAGAAATGCATATAGCAGCTAGTCATGCGTCCTTACAGGTGCAGGGACAAAGCTCTCTCAAAATTTACTTATCTGCTATGTGTACAGACCACAATCATGTCTTCCAAATTCTAAGGCACAGTTTAACATCATCAGAATTTTTACAGTAACAACTTCCATTGTCTTCTGGCTACCATCAATGGGCACTGTGCCAGTTCCCTTACATTCATTATCACAAATAATCACTATTGTACAGATAAGAGTGACCTAGAGGTAGCACTGATTTGTCCAAGTTTTCTAGCTAATAAATGCCAGGTCTCAGATTTGAACCACTTTTGTTCATGTTAAGAGCTAGTGCTGTTTATCTTCACATAACACCTAAACTTAAAGTTTTGACTTTTTATTTCCAAATAACTGCAAATATAAAAGGTTTTTTTTTTTTTTTACAAATAATACAGAGGGGTTTCATGTACCAATCTCCTCGATGCCTCCAGTAGCTATATTGTTGGATCAACCAGAAAGTTGCTTAGGAGGCCAGAGAGATGGCTCAGTGGGAAAGAATACTTGCTGTGCAAGTATGAGGACCTGAATCTGGATCCCAGCTCCTACCCCAGTACTCATAGAAAAAGCCAAATGTGGCTGTGCGTACATCTCTAACTCCAGAGCTGCAGGGATGAGGTGACAACTGATAGAGCAGGACACTTGCTGTGCTCCTGCAGCCTCTACACTAACACACACACAACACACACACACACACACACACACACACACACACACACACACACACA